AAGTTGGGAAAATAATAAAAAATCCAGGAACAGTGTTCATTTTGATGACTTTAATTGCTGACAGTAGGTTTGACTGGTAACACAGCTCACGCAGTCTGATTGTGTTTGATTGTTCTGAGCAGTGGAAGTAATGAACAGTGAGACGTGACAGCAGGGGTCAAACTTTCCCTTTGACCCTCACAGCAAATCTGTCCAATCCTAATTTAACTTCGTGTTCTGCTTCAGCCGAGCTCCAGATTTTTCTTCTAGAGCAGCTTTGAACGTCTGACGTAAAAGAGCTGAAGTGAAGCCAAATGTCAAACACAATGAGAAGTGATCGTTGCAAACACGGCCGAGCTTTTCCTGCTGTTTGTCATCTTTGATGGGTTTCTGTCCCGTTCCTGGTGGACCGGAGCTTTGTTGGGTTTTTGGAGGACTACCCTGAGGTGGCAAAAGTACCGACATTCTGTACTTAAGCAGAAGTACAAATACTACTGTTAACAATCCTCCAGTAAAAGTTGAGGTACTGATTCAACTTCTTTACTCGAGTAAAAGTGGAAAAGTACAGGCTCTGGAATCTACTCAGTTAGAAAGTAAAAGTAGCTCTTTGGAGGACGTTTCTACTTTAGTGCAAAGCTAACGCAAAATAATATCAGTAGATGGGACTCCAAACTTTACTCTAACTCTATTTTTATTCTAATTATACTCATGAATCTGAAGCTTCATGTGTGTGTGTGTGTGTGTGTGTGTGGACACTTTGCAGCTCTCAGATGTGCTGGATGCTGGCTTTGGATCATTTGTGAGGCAGCAGCAGGTTTAAATGTGCGTGCAGCTGTTTTTGTTGCGTGCACATGTGTGTTTCTGTTAGCAGTGGAGCTGCCGGGCGTCTGCAGCTCTAATCCCGCCACTCCTCGCGTTCGGCATTCTTGTGGTGGGAGACTGAGAGCTGTCCTCTGCCCGGACTTGTCGCTGAGATTAACACAGTCACTCTGACTGATGACGCTTTTGTCCACGAGCAGATTAACAACACAAACATCTTTGAAGCCGACCTAAACCTGTAAGTGATGGTTTGACTTCTAATTCAACCACAATGAGCGTTTACAGTCGGTCGGACAAAAGTGGATCTGCTGTCTCGTGGGAGACTCGGCTCCCCGAGCTTTGCAGGGCTCGGTCTCTGTGAATGAACTGATGGACCACACAGCTCGCAATCGGAGGAAAATCTGCAGTTTCCCAAACTTAAAATTATTAAGTTTGAAGTGGATTTCATGAGTAAATGTGTGAAACTTGAGTGGGAGTGGTCAAAGGTGGCGAATCCTCTGTCGAGCTGGCAGCGGGGATTCTGAAAGTGATCGTGTTGATGGCGGTGGATCAGGTGACTGCGGTGTTGTTACACGCTGCATCGCGGTGAGACGACAGAAGCAGCTCTTTAAATTTGCAGGGTTTACATATTTGGACACGACAGAAATAAACCAACCTCAGATAAATCAAAGTCCGACACATTAAACTGAGTTATTGTTTAATAAAAATCTGAGTGCGGGAATCCTGAGGCCACACTCACTGCTTCCATCGGTGGCAGCGAGAAGCTGAGCCAGGAGCTGCTGCTGGTCATCAGACTGAGCACGCTTGTGAAAGCAGACGTCGGAGTGTTCAGGTGTGCGAGGACGTGGTGCGAGGGAGGAAACATCAGCAAAGACCTCAGAGAAACAAACGCTGCTGCTGCTCATCAGTCGGGGCGTTTTAAGGTCGAGTAAAGTAAGGGATTACTATTGCAAAAACGGTAATTAGATTACCGTTACTTTCCCGTAGGAACGCTGCGTTGCTGCGTTACTAAAACCGTGATTTTTTGCGAGAATGTCTCA